ACAATTTATCCATTTAAAATGTATAACTCAATGTTTGGCATATATTCACAGAGTTGTATTACCACAACCTAATTTATATATACACACACGCATATACACACATACGTACACAAACACACACACACACACATACACACACACACACACTTGTTGCTGTTGTTGTTGTTGCTATAGAGCACTTAAGCTTGCCAGAGACAGAGAGTGAGAGGGAAAGTAAGAACTCACACCCACTCCTCAGAGGGTCTGGTCATACTGCAGTCCTTTCCTTCATTGTCCTCTCAGGATTTTGGGCATGCACACACATTTATTTGCCTGGTGTAATATTCAAGCAATGAGGGATCCAGTGCCTTAACCTTCATGCCACCTGCTGGCCTACCATGACCTAATTTTAAAACATTTTCATACCCCAAATGCCACTCCAAGAAAACTCTGTGTCTCCTAGCAGTAACTCCCAGTCCCCCTCCTCTATGCCTCTGGAAACCACTAAACTAATTCTATTTCATAAATTTGCCTATAAATGAAATTATACAATATATTGTCCTTTGTCACTGGATTATTAATATTTTTTGGAGAGGTTTTTGCTATAGGGCGCGTACATGCACCAGAAAGAGACAGAAAGTGAAAAACCACCCCCTGGGGGGGTGGCCATGATGCAATCCCTTCTCCTCTCCATTCTCCTATCAGGATCTTGGGCATGCACATACACACGCTCAGCATGAGTTTAAGCTAAACCCTGGGTCCGGGACTCAAACTGCAGTCAACTACATGGGAGTCCAGTGACATAGCCATTACACCAACTGCTGGTCCTAGTCACTGTATTATTTCACTTAACCTAAGGTTGTTTTGTATTTTTATTTATTTATTTATTTATTTTTGGTCATAGGGCACATGTACTCACCAGAGAGTGAAAGAGACAGAGAGAAGGAAAGTGAGAAATAACTCCTCCAGGGGAGATGGTCACACCACAAGCCCTTCTCCTGCACTCTCCTCTTAGGATTTTCAGCACACATGCACAAGCACCTGGCATGACTATGAAGCCGCTGGGTCTGAGACTCAAACCATGATCACCCACATGGAGTCCAATGACCTAACTACCATATCACCTACCCCTAGCCTAAAGTTCTTAAGATTTGCTGACTCATTTTCTTTGAATGGAATTTGTATTATAGCCACACACTTTTCCAAGTACTGAAAGTATGCTTTGGATATTTGTGTATGAGTCTCAAATGGTTTTTGAAATTGACTGTTCTTCTTAGTTTCCTATAGGAATCAGAAGTCGACATAGGTCCTTGAAAAAAAACAAGCAAAAATAGTCCCCAGATTCTTCCATTTAGAATGAATATCTTATAGAAAATTAAAACTACATTTATTTATATAATACACTTATTTCTGACTAAAATCACAGCATTATCTACACACACTTATCCTCCCCTAAATACTCATTCCATTAAAAGAATCAAAATGAAGACACTTCTTGTAACTCATAAACAACCTAACATAAAATGGGTAAATGATTTGAACAGATGCTTCACCCAAAATGTATGAATGGAAAGTAAGCACATGGAAAGAATGCTCTGCATCATTAACCTACTTCACACCCACTGGACTGGCTATAATAAAACATATTCACAATGCTAATTGCTGGCAAGGACCTAAAGAAACTGAACATGTGTACATTGCTGGTGGGGCATAAAAAGATACAGTCATTTTCAAAAAAGGTTTGGCAGCTAAATATAAACTTAACCTAACACTCAGCATCCCTATGTACTGACTCAATGGAAATGAGAACACGGGGGCCAGATGAGTGCAGTGGTAATGCAACTGGACCCACATGGCAAAGTTCTGATTCACATTTCAGGGCATTCCTTAGCACTCCAGGCCACACCCACA